GATTGGAAAAAAAAACCTAGAGACTTAGAGGAAGAGTACATGTCCTCAATTTTGGTGTCTTTTTTCAGGCTAACTCACAATTATTTAAACTGAGACGAGTACAAGAGAGAACTGGGACAGGAAGTAGAGTAGCAGTGACTACAACAAACAGAGCAAGTCAAGTCAAGCATTGTGGTCTCAATATAGTCGACATGTGACATTTAGATATAAAAGCCAGCATAATTATCATCAAAGCTGTTCTTTACAAGTGAGCAGACTGTGTATAAGTGGGAAGGGCACACACAGAGCTTTACACCACACGCTGCGCACAAATTATACCTCACCTGATTTCAAAGACTTGTCAGATTCTCTGGATCTACTGAGTTTAGCCTTCGCGGTGGGCTAGTTACACTTAAAAGGCTCCATGCATTCAATTACAACAAGAATACAATTATTGTAGCTTTAAAGCTTTACCTATAGAATAATAACCACCTTTAAGACGAAACTAAACTCAAGCCTGCAGAACTGCAGGTTTATCTCTCGTTAGTAGCTGTAGGAGAAAGTTGTTCATGGTTTCTCTTAAATGTATAGCAGTTACATATGTTGACTTTAATGCCATAACAGCAGTGTACCAACTGAGGCAGTGGATGTGGAGGAGGCTTGCGGGAAGTCCGTCATGTTCGGGCATGCCCTGCCCTGACAGGAACCTTCAACCTGAACATGAAAGGCTCTGACGTCCCCACATTGTCTGTGGCCCCATGTTCCAGAAACAGCGTGGCGGACGGACCCAGCTGTTTCTTCAACATCACCTCCCTGCCATTTCACATCACCCTGTAATCTGGGCTAACATGCTCTGAAGCGTTTTTGTCTGAGCCTCCATGCCCGGGCACCACCAGTTCAGTTTTTCATGAGCTCCAGAGTCCCCAGCATATTGAATGGTTAACAAACTGAAGAAATGTGCCCATTCTACATTTGATTTCCCCCCCCCCCTCCCCCCTGCTGCTAATGAGCTAAAAGTGCTCAGTGGGGGAAGCTAGATAAAGTTAATGTCTGCTCATGCATTACTCCGCCTCCTAAAAGGGTTAATGCACTAATGTGCAGTTTGCTTAAACTGATCCACTCTGTGTGGACCGTGCAATATTTTCTTTTTAAGCAATTCGATCAGTTAAGCATGTTAATAAGCCCTTGAGGCACATTAAGATACAATAATCAATGAGAATGAATTTAAAATATAAACAACTAGAGAAAGGAAAACAAAATAAAACTTAGTTTGTATAACTGAGATGGAGCTTTAACACATCTAGGCCATACGTGCTGTTGCTTCATTTAGAAATTCTATACATAGATATATTTAAAATCATACACATTCTTATTTTGTTAACCTAAATTTATACAATTTTGGCTTGCTTCACATGTTAACAGCCAACTCTTATTTACTCCCCGCAAACAAAAGTCCAGACTTTAAGTGTCAACTAATGCTATTTTGTCAACCATGAGCTAAATCATCTGGTTAATATAATGTCTAGTAATTAAAAAAACACTTTTTCGTTTAACCAAAACAAACAACCACGATATACTTACTTATTATTTAATAGCTCAAAAGAAACTAAAATGATTGTCCCTATTGTGAAGCCAGAACTACGGTGGCCCCTAGAGACAAAGCACGTACAAGTTCCAAATAGCACGTACAAACTCCAAAACACTTACAAATTCCAAAGCACGCAGAAATTCCAAAGCATGTACAAACTCCAAAACACGTACAAAACTCCAAAACACATGCAAACTCCAAAACACATACAAAATCCAAAACACCTACAAATTCCAAAGCACGAACAAATTCCAAAGCTGAAATGAAATTAACTGACCAGTAACCAACCTAAGTTTGAAACCCTGTTTAGATGGAACTGTTAAATGTAGCTGGAAGTAAACAAAAACTGATATCCACAAAGGCATCCAGCCTTACTTATCTCTATTTATTTGTCCCGTGCCATTCATCTTCATGGTTCTGTGTACATAACAAGGAATAAGCACTTCCCAAAACTGTTCAAGAGGAATGCACGAACATTTTTCTCTTAAATTCACAAGGATGGACATGCATGCTCAATTGTATTTTAGCGTCATCAAGATGACGTTTAAGTCATATGACTGAAAGTCATGTTTGGTTAAAACAAAAGGGTCAGAACCTCCCCATCGCTGCATCTCCCAGTTTGCTTGTGAGGAAGTGGATTCTGGATCAGATGAAGAATGATGCCCCCCCCCCCAAAAAAAGTAAACAAGCATTCTGACATGACCAAAAGTTTGAATTTTTGAGGGAATGTTAATTAAAGAGCACTGCAGACTAACCAGAAAACAATTCCCATGTTTTGAATGTTGCTCTATAATCTAGATTTCAGCAGGGTTAGTTTCTGTGCATTAAGGACATTTTCTAAGAGATTTCACAAACTGCTTTTTCAACAACAAAGCCAGAGAACACCTAACAGTTAATTTTAGGGGCGACAGCAGTGCTTGTCACTGCCTGTGTGCTCAGTTTATACAACAAATCAGAAATGCAACTTGACTGAAGTGCCTGTTTGGGTTTTTTGTGGACTCTCTGTTGCCCTTGCTTGTTTCATAATGCAAAGACAGTAGAGATGAAAAAAAAAAAAGAAAACATCCAGAAATCCACTGAAGTAAGGCAAATATCTATACAGTAGTCATGTGCAAAGAAGGATATAGTAAGTGAGAGTCACTCTGAAATAATTCCTGAGGCCAAAGCCTGGATGAACTCTGAATTTAGATGACACATGTCTGGGATCAAATTATTCAAATGGGCTAAGGAATGCTCACATGAATGCAAATAATGTACAGCTAAACTGAAAATCACATCTCCCTCCCTTTAGGTCTCCTAAGGCAGCAACAACTGTCCATTTCTTTGAATTTAATTGAGTGTGCTACTGTCACAGTCTGATAGTTCTTCCACTGCAGTGAGCATCACAGTCCTATTTCTGCTGCTGTCTCTGATCATATCAGACTACTGTGGGCGTCCATACAGAAACAGATTATAAGAATGGGTGGGGGTTACTTAAATGAGAGGTATACTGATGTTTTCAGCTGAGTTAATATAAAAGTAATCACAGGGTTGTGCTGTTTAAAGACTAAACGAGCTGCTATTGTTGCTGGGAGTAATCGTGACACTGCAGCCAAAAGACCCTGCAGCCTACCCTCTATCACATCGTGTTTAATCCTGTTAAACTCAGGTCAACATTTTAGGACCTGTGATGCAGAGTAACGCAATATTATGTACCGAAATCCGTCAACAAACTATTGTTAAGTGATAATAAGCATTAGTGCTGTAGTTTATCACCGCCAACAAATATGGTGACCTGCACGCACAAGTACGAGGTATTTATAAACTGTTAATCACAGCCAGAGACTACAAACTAAAAACAGCGAAACAACTCTTCAAATTTAACAAGGGAAAGATTAAAACACCCTGCCACTGAACGCATCATTAAATAAATGTATCGCTGTCGTTTTCATTTGATAAAGTGAGAGAAGTTGCAGTTGTTACCTCCTGACGCCAAATGGACAAGAAGCGACCACCAAAGCAGACCACAGAGCCACAACTTCTTCTTCTGGGTGTTTTTCCCAACAGAGTCCATCTTCCTCGTCTCGGTAGAAACGCTAATGTTTAGCCGGCAGTGGAGTCACATATTTACAGACTGGTTTTCACTTCTTCGCGCTTCGCTAACGCGACATAAAGCGACTAGAAGCTGGTCGTCCGACCAGTCAGAGAATGTGTGCACTGCCCGGACAGTCAGCAGGAGATCCCGAACTGAAGCTCCAACTGACCCTCGCCAAACTCCGCCTCGTGCGCGTGCGTGCACGGGGAATTTCAAAATAAAAGCCAGGAGCGAGGGTAAACGCTGCAGGGTTATTCAAGCAAACGGCGGCAAGTGGAAACAAAGATTGAAAATGTAAACAGACATTTGGTGAGCACACAGTGAAGCTGAATTAGAGTCATTCGCCGTTATTAAAATGCAGTCACGTTTAACCCAATATCTGGGAATCTATTTTAACCAAAGCCTAATTTAAACTAATTATTGGGGAAAATGCTGCTGATAAGAGAACTAAAGAATTAAATGACCATTGCCAAAAGGGGGAAAGCATTTGCAAAGCGCTTGGAATCAGTTTGTTTGTTTGTTTTAAACATTTGTGCCCATGCCACCTTAAAGGGCTAAAAGTTTCAAGGCACAACTGTTTTAATATCTAAAGAAAATTGGCTTAATATGGCCAAGTGTTTTCTGTTGACAGTTTTCAGGTGTTTTACTTGTGCTTGTGTGCGTGTTTACAGACAGGAGGAGGTGATCAGTTTTACCTCCTGGTTATATGTCAGGGCATCTGGTGTACTAATATAGTGTGTTTAAATGCCAGTTATTACTTTTTTCCCCATGTATAATAATATTTGGTTGACAGAAGAATCCCAGAGAACACCTGGACTTCCCTTATGGCACAGTATTTGGGAACAGCTACTCTAAATCATTTCTTTGTTTGACTAGCTCACAAGACTCAGCTTAACATAACACTAGGCAGACACACTTAAACATCATAAACTATTGAGGGAAATTATGGCTATTTGGTATTCCAAGCATGAGTCCATAGAAAAAAAAAACTTTGAATGTTGTAAAATGTGCAGTTTAGCACACATCATCTCTGTGTTTTCTTTCCCGGTTTTTACTCAGTGAGATTCAAATGTTTGTAAGGCTGTTAAGCATGAATGTAACAAGTGCTTGTTACTGTCCTTACATGTAAATACACACATAATATACATCTAGCATTCAATCTTTGTAAATAAGATTTAGAACTTTTACATTTTAAGGCAATCAAGTTTGGGTTTTTTAGTCTGCATTAAAGATCTTAAAACATTTATGATGTTTTTGGTTGCAAGTGAAGCAATAATAATAAGTAATGACATGTTAACACAAGATAACATTTGAATGTAATATTTAATTCAATAATAGGTATTTTGTAACTGGATTTGAATATTGTGTGTAGCTTCCTAATAAACCCTACTGTTCTATAATTGATTTCACTTTGTGATTACTTATTTGACAGCACTATAAAGAGCATCTCTCCAAAATAATTAAAGTACTGTTAAAAATATCATATTAGTTTTATAAAATCAGAGCTTCAGAGAATCAAGTCAAACTCATAATTAAATGGTTGATTTTAATTTACAGTACAGTACAATTCAGCACATACTGGAGCTGTGTGAATACTTTTCTAATCACATGCAGTCAGCAGGTACCCAGAAATTTTCTAAACTCTTCTTTGATGTATCTGTAGATTGGACGGTAGAGGCGTCTGTTTAACACCATGAGATCAACAGCAGTCTCAGTGTGGGCGACTCCATGAAGAACATTCAATGACATCTTAACAGAGCGCAAAGTGAGAAGCTCAGAGAATCTTATGGTAGATTCAGCAGGAACCATAATGTCATTGGTCCCATGGAGCAAAGCGAATGGAGGCAATCTGTCAGAATAAAAAGGACTGTAGTAAATAAATGTCTGTAGTGTGTTTGTGTTTCCAATAAAGAATTGATGTATTAGATTTCAGAACTGGTGTTAAACCCATTTTTTTATCCTTTTCCACTTACCTGTTGACTTTGTCCTGGCTGAGCTTCTTTAGTAAGTGTGTTGGTGAGTAGTATGGAAGGTTTTCCACACCATTCATCGCTTTGTGCATGGGGGACACTCGTTCAACTCCTCGTTTCTGTTCATGCTCATAATGGTCCACGATGTTGTAGACGCCGCTCAGACCTGTCCGGTGGATATAAAACAATTAGTCTACCTTATTAAGAATAACAGGAAAGAAAAAGGTCATTTTTTGATTAAGTTGTTAATTTTCATATTTTTTAAAAGTGAAAATATGAAGTACTTATAATAAAATAGTAATATGAGTAAATGTGTCTGTAGCTTAGGAGACAGAACAGGTCATCTGCTAATCAGATAGTTGGTGGTTTGATCCCTGGTTGGCTCAGTCTGCACAAATATCTCTGATGCGTTCATCACAGTGTGAATATTAGATAAAAAAGCACTTAGACATAGAAAAATAATGTTTGTGGGAGTGCTTGAATGAGGCAAGTTACACAAAGTCTTTGAGTGCTCAGGTAGACTATAATACAATCTGGTAATATACAAAGAGTGAGACAAACATCACAATATTGAAATGTGTATATATTGAATCACTGTAGGGGAAGACCATTATGGAAAACAAATACTAATATTAAATGATGAACTTCATTTCTTACCAATAATTCCTCTTATCGAGAGCAAGACTTCCTGCTGCTTGCCTGGCTCTATGGAAAGCTCCTCTCTTGTATCAACAAGAAACAGTGTGGTGAGTGTACACAAATGTGCACCTGCTGAATGCCCAATTAATACAATGTTGTCCTATAAAAAAAATACAACACAGAACAGCATGCTGTACGTGATTATACATTTTTACCTACTGAAGATTAAGTTAATGCACAGATACACAATGATTTTATTTTTAAAAAGGCTCTGACGAAGATAAAGTACAAGCATGATTAGTCTGTATACAGGGGCTCAAAACTTAGCACTGCTTTAATTCTAGACCGACACAGCTGAGCAGCAGTGTTTTAGAGTTTTTCCCTGGGCAGTGAGGAAGTTGGTAAATATCAGAATATCAGGAGTCCTTGCATGCCTAGCTCTGTGCCTAGCACAGAGGTAACTGGTTCATTATTAATTTTTATAAAGAATCCTTAACCTCCTAAGACCCGAACTCTTCCACGACATGCATTTTTAATTTTTCTTTGATATTTGGGCATATTGGGGCCCAATGAATGTAAAAACAAAGAATTACCAGATTTTTTTTTTTTACCTTATTTTTGTTTTTAAGAAAAATAAGAGCCGCATATGAGGATATTCATTTAAAATCTTGATAGAACAGTAGCAGTATAATGTCCTCGTAAGTGGATATCAGGCGCTTGTAGAGCAAAATTAAGTATTTTGGTCTAAATAACCCAAAATGTGATGTCCACATATGTGGACGCCAGGTCCTAGGAGGTTAAATAATACTAAGCTGTCTTACTTTGTCAAAGTTGAATTTCTCTCCATTCTGGTGGGCCCAAATCAAGCAGTCAGTGATATCTTGGACCATCCCTAAAACATTCCCCTGACAATCACAGTCAACCAAGAGTCAGTTTAGAAACAACTTTATTATTTAAAATGAAAGTTGATCTTTGTCCTGTAAATTTACATTTTTGGTTTACCTAATTTAAATTCAATATGTATTTTATCAACTAACACACATATGCGATAAAATATTATCATTCATAAGTTGTGATTCAAGGATGTTATGACTCATAACATCCTTGTGATTACTGTGTGTTGTTTAAAATCTCTCACCTTTGGATATGTGCAGTAATCAGGACAAATTACAGTTGCTTTCAGTTCTTCAGCCATCCGACTCCCCAGTAAACAGTAAGTGGACCTTTCTCCTGTGCCCCATGCACCTCCGTAGACAAATACTACCGCCGGTGATGGCAGCTTCCTTACATTTGGAGGGTGGTATAAGTCCAGCTTGTTGCCTCTGCGGCCAAACGTGATGCCCTGTCAAGCGTCCACACAAACAAACTGATTATTCACACGTTCTTCAGCACTAACTCAACTGATAACGTCATTGATTGTAAATAATAATCAAGAAAACAGGTAGATTTTCTCAGTGAGTTATCCTTAACCTACCTTTTCATAATACTTTAGATTCCTCTCATCGTTATACCATGACTTCAGCTGAAAGTAAACTTTCCAATACTGCAGGTATTTGAGAAGATCCAGTGTAGTGAGGGTCAGACGATATATTCGCCTGATGAAGAGGCCAAAAGCGTAAATGAAAATTACAAACATACTGCTCAATGAGTGGGCCAATAAAACAAAAACATCAAACAAAACAAAAGACAATAAAGGAACATGTGTAAATCATTTTAAAAGTTACCTTGGATTAAGAGCTTCTATGTACTTCTTATACCCAGGCTTGTCAGGCCAACCATAAATCCACTGACAGGCTAAACAGATGGAGTAGAGCAGGCCCACCAACATGACACCCACAGTCACAGACAGTGACATGTAATATTTTATATCAGACCTTTAAAAGCAACATATATTATGTTAAGATTCATTAAAAGTACACTTAGTTTGTGATCTTCAAGAGGATATACTTAACTTTTGCATTATACTTAGGATCTTACATTCTTTATGGCTTTATCTTTCCTACCTGCAAACATAAAAAATATAAATTATAAGTAACAAAACATAAGTAATAGAAAACAGTATAAATTGTTTTCAGAGAAATGATGGCACAAAGTTACGATTGCAGTTTTCAGAAGTGTGTCATATTAAAGCTCATTTTGTAAAGACTTTTAGTTGTAACTACTTAATTTAATAATGTTTTACTTAAGCCGTAATTATTAACAATATTAGGTCTTTTTCTGTTAACCCAGGCTTTCTGCTTTAGTCTCATTTCACATGCACATAAAAACGAGTTATTTGATGCTTCATCCACCCTCCTTCTGTGCACAAAGGATCAAACTAAGCATCAGAGGCAAAAAGGCTTGAGTGCATTAGTGGACATTCAAAGAAAAATCCACATAAATGACAGGACCAAAATTTTGACACCAGAAAACTGCATCGTGATGTGATGATGACATTTTTCACTACATCTTTCACAGGGTTTTAATTAATGTTGTGGCTCATGAAGTGAGCCACAACATTAAAACTGGGCATCAGAATGAAGAAGAAAAGTGATTTAAGTGACTTTGAATGCGGCTTGGTTATTGGTGCCAGAAGGACTGGTCTGAGAAGTTCAAAAACTCCGGGGACTCACTGGGATTTACTGGGATTTTTCCACACAACAATCTCTCGGGTTTCTCTGGAGTTTGCAGAGAATATTTTTCCATCTGTTCGTCCATCCATCCTCTTCTGCTTAGTCAGGGTCAAGTTGTGGGGACAGTAGCCTAAGCAGAGAGCACAAACTTCCCCCTCCCCAGCCACCTTCTTCAGCTTATCCGGAGAAACGCTGAGTTGTTCCCAGGCCAGCCGAGAGATGTGTCTCAACCATGTTCTGGGTATACTATACACCCTTGGAATGCTTCAAGGCAGACTGAAAGTCTTGAGTTTCTCTGGGTGAAAATGTCTACTTGATGTCAGAGGTCAAAGAAGAATGGACAGACTGCTTTGAGTTGATAGGAAGACAACAGTAATTCAAATAGCCACTCATTATAGCCAAGGTATGCAGAAGAGCACAGCAGGTTGAAACTTGAAGCAGATGAGCTACAGCAGCAGCAGACCACATAAGTTAAGAACAGGAAACTGAAGCTACATTTCACATAGGCCCACCGAAATACCCCAAAACAAAATCTGATGCTAAAAGAAGGTTTATTCAGTTACTAAATAGATCAGTTTGTTGAGTTATGATATTTTTTGAGTAGAAGTCTGTTTAGTTTACCTCTTTTATAGGCCTACATAGTTCTTAAAATAGCTTATTTCTATTATTGTGTATTTTTGAAATAACCTCTTATCTTTTCTGGGATATAATAAAAAAAAACATAATTTAAAGATTATATCTGTGCTTGGACGTTCTTGGCTGCTTGGTCCATTTGAAGGCAAATTTGAAGGCACTTATTAAAGTTGGCTGATGTGTATATTTGTATTTAATGGCTTAGGACTTTCAGAACATTAGTACATGGCTTTTTACATAATTCACAAACACAAAACCATTTACTTATGAATAGCTTTCATAAAGAATTGGAATAGCTTAGTGATGGTTGTCCTTAAAATTGTACCACAGCACTCTCTAGTGGGGTTTTATAGGACGTACCAGCATTCAGAAAGGCGCTTTCACTCGAGAATAATTTTAAAAATCATATGAGCACTTAATAACTCTTGATAATAAACTGATAAACGCGATCTGTATATCAAATAGTTCTGGTATGGAATTTAATATAAGTTTTCTGTCACGTATTTTCGCAGTTCTCCTACCGTTGGACGTTTTGTTGCCAAAGTACGTTTGTCTTCTCTGTCACGACCTCGTTGGGCGAATGAGTAGAGGTGGAGGACAAATGCAAACAAAAACTAAATATATATCTCTCTCTATATATATATATAAAAAAGAAGAAGAGCAGTGAAGAGAACCCACCTGCACTTAATAATGTCACTGCGGATGACTGAAGCACATGTCAACGTTCATACTGTGTTGTTTCATGCAGGTCAAGTAAACGAGAACCACAGAAGAAAAACAAACAACTTCAATGCAAAAGTTGAAATTCCATTTCTTGTCCCAGCTTACCCGAAGTGTAAATCAATTCACGACAATTCAAAAGGCTCGCAACACGGCAACAGATTTTAGAAAGGGTAATGTAAGCGAACCTTAAACGCACTTCGACCCATTAGACCTGACATGAGTTTGATTTATGGCGCTTATCTCTGGTCTTCATGCAAGACAACTCGATAGTACAGCACCATAATGTTCGTAGTTCCCCTGTAGGTTTAACAGCCCAATCATATCATATCAGCAGATTATGGAAATGGGAAAAGTGTTACAATTCATATTTACATTTACAGACCTGCCCCACGTTTGTGCCCCGTTTTCACGCAGGGTGTTCCACGTTAACTGGTTTTTGGTGGTTAGATTTATTTACAGATTCCACTCCCCGTGCTCCAGATGTTGCATCCGCAGATTCGTCATTTTCACTGAGCGGTCAGCTCTGTCTGTCTGCCAGTGCGTCATTCAGTTTGACAAGATTAAAGACTTAGGCATTAAATAAAAATAAAAAAGGTCCCCATCTCCTGCCCAAATGGATCAATATTATCTTCAGACAACAATTAAATTATTTTAATATAAAAAACAAAAGGCATTATAGTTTTTGCATGTTCCTACCATTATTTTAATCTTATTTTGACTTTTTGTTTCTTTACTTAGTTTTAGTCTTTATTACTTATTATTTTATTTCTAACAAATACCAGAGGCAAGATAAATGAGCATAGATATTACAGTTTAAGCAGAATTTTAGAAAGCAGTTGGCTCACAGGCGTTTAGACACCCAAAGCCTCACTTGAAATATCAATAAAACCCTAATCTTGCAGTTTGTGAAAACAAATTTTTCCAAATGAACAAATATCAAAACTGAGGATACGCCATCTTTATTTTAATTTACTTTATTTTAGTTAGTTTCTTAAGTTCTCAAAATGATTTCAGTTATATTTTTTCCGAAGGTCTATTTTTTAATTTTTACTTTAGGTCACTAAAATGTTGTTGTTTTTTCACATCACACATCATAACATTGAAATGTATTCATTTCCAGTGCTGTTTGGGGTGTGAGAACAGCCACTTTTAAATGGTTGGTTCCTCCCTAAAAGGCTGTTGGAAATTCATTAAGGGTGTTTCATTTCAAATTTTAATGTATTTTCTTCCATCTGCAGCTCCAACCATTCCAAACTGCTGGAGCTGGCTTTGGTTTGGTAATGTTTGGCTAATTTATCCAGTTTTTTATTCATTCATCAACTTTCATTCTTCATTTCTGTGTGAATCAATGCTGATTCACGTAAACGACTGGCAAATGTTTACTATGAAGAGTATATGTATACTTTATAAATAAAATAAAATTGAAATTAAATTGAATGAATATATTTGACAATTAGAAAAAAAAATCTGTGGTCTTTCTTCAAAACTGATACAGCTTTTAATGATCCTAAATGTGTCCTTTGTTTGTTGGACAAAATACTAAATCCCAAAATATAGTAGTGAGAGCAGAAGTATAATTATCTTGCAGGTGCCATTTAATAACCATACAATAACTCATAATAAAGATCAGAGGTATTTGTGGTAACTTTCCTACATTAATCGGCCACTGTCCATAAGTAATTTATCAGTACATAAAATATGAGCACTGGCAGTGTATGGCCACTAGAGGGGGGTAGAATTATGTCACTTGCAACAAAAAAATTTCAGTCAAATCTGTTCAGAGACTGAAGCTAGAAGACGATAGTGAGTTAAGATGGAAAGATAAAAGGAAGTATCATCATTAGTGGTTTAAAGCTTTAAGGACTACACAAATCAGGGATATTCTAGCCAAAGTACCGGGCAAAACACTGAACCCTGCCTTACTCTCTGATCCGTTAGAGAGGAAGTAATTAGACGTGGGGGGGAGTACTTGTATAAAAGTGCTTTGTCAGAAATGTTCGGTGCTAATGTAATATGTTTGTAGTAAATTATCCCTACAAATGCAACTATTTATTACACCTCTGTGTTGTATTAATGTCCATCTAGCATCAGAGACATTCTCTATAAATTAAGGGGTTTTGCTGGCCCTGACCATGGAAAACCTTCGCTTCAGCACTGCCAATTCAAGGAAAGCAGAGCTACTGTCCAACCTGAGGGTTATTGTTATAGTTGGCCACACAGAGCGGAGCCTCAAGCCTTGAGTTGGTGTGTGGTTCTTCCTCCGTCTGCCACAATGTGGGGAGTCCCAGGTGCTTTTTGTAAAGCTGCAGTGGAAATGAAGCCACTTAGTGAATGAGAGCCATTCAGCTGCACTGAGCGCACAGTCAGCCCATTCTGAATGCTGTGGTAACTATTCACAGCATTTGTCACTTACAGTTTAACACTATCATCAATTGAATTATGTCATGTAGAGTGATATAAACATATTAACACCTGACATTCATTCCTGATTCTGTGTGGGTGTAAGCTGAATACATTAGCTTTTGTTTTGTCATTAAGTCCATTAAAATTATTGGTCTTTTATTATTAGTAGAATGACATACCAGGTAGCCAAATACAGGAACCCGGGGGGATCTATTTGAACTAAAATAGGATTTACAATTATTATTCTGGAAAATGCTCATGATAGTAGAACTATATATAGTCCATTACCACAACTGATTTAGAATTCAGGCCCCTCTTCTATGGAACCACCTTCCAGTTTGGATTCAGGAGACAGACACTCTAGAGACTCTACTTTTAAGATTAGGCTTAAAACGTTCCTTTTTGCTAAAGCATATAGTTAGAGCTGGATCAGGTGACCCTGAATCCTCCCTTAGTTATGCTGCAATAGGTGTAGATTGGTGGGGGATTTCCACGCTGCATCAAGTAGTTCCTTTTCAGTCACCTTTCTCACTCAACATTAATAGACCTCTCTGCATTAAGTCACACTTGTTGTTAATTTCTGGCTCTTGTCCACAGCATGTCGCAGCAGATGGCCCCTCCTCGCTGAGCCTGGTTCTGCTGGAGGTTTCTTCCTGTTGAAAGGGAGTTTTTCCTTCCCACTGTCGCCAAAGTGCTTGCTCATAGGGGGTCATTTGATTGTTGGGTTTTTCTCTGTATCTATTATTGTAGGGTCTACCTTACCTTACAATGCACCTTGAGGCAAGTAATTTGATATGTTACAGTTTTATTCATATTTACCAGGAATATACTATGTAACCTGGAAAGTTTTTTTTTTTTCAGATTACACTTCAGATGAAGCCATCTTTGTGAGCTACGCTCTACTAGCCCAAAACTTACCTCCATTCACACAATCTGAAAACAGTCTTGCTGCCTCTGGTGGTTCAGATCCAGCAATTATTATTATTATTATTTTGAAGAAGGCAAAGTCTTTCTCAAAAGGTGCTTTTTGTTTTTTAATTGCCCTTTTAGCTTGCTTGGCACAGTACTGGCATTACTTAACTCCCTCCAACAAGGGATTAATCAAGCCAGCTCCTGAGGTCATCTGATATTCCCAAACCAGCTGAAACTATAGGACATTGATATTTGGCAGGAGTTTCTCACAACAGCTTTTATTTCTTTAGGTGTTTTTTCGTGTAGTTTTTTTGCAAACACAAGAACGTGATCAGTTTATCTCGTCAAAGGCCAGACAGTGAATATGATGTGTAGAGATTTCATACCTCAGGTGAATCAAGTCCCACACCTCCACCCCACCCACCCACCAATCTGAGCTATGGTCTGATTCATGATCTGAGTGGCCTCATCCCTCAGGTCACTCACACACAGACTCCATACACCAACCAACTCCTTCCCCTTGTTTTGTACATATTCCTCTTGTTGGTTATTTATTCCCCTTGTCTTACTATTTTGATTTCCTGCACAGTTGATACAGACCAAAGTTTTATTCTATTCTACTTGCAGTAAAAACATTTGACACACATTTTTTGTAAATAATGCTCAAAATTCAAACATTTTAAAGCAATTAAGTTTTACAGAACATGGTTACTATTGTTCTGCAGTGAAAATCTGATGGTATTTATGTACTGTTTCAAAGTTATACTGGCTCAAAAATTGCTAATCATTCAAGACTTCCCAAAATATTTTGCTCTCTGTAAATACATGTATATCAAAAAGAGTGACGGGTTAGATTTTAACACTATCACAAGATGTAACAACATTGAATTTTGGAATATTAGGCATAATAATTTCAAGTAGGTGTAAAAATGATGACTGTACTTCATTTGTCAATAAAACTTGGGTTATTAATGTGCTGTTACAATATATTATACACGTACTTTTAGAGTATCAAATAAAACACTTGAAAATTCTCAAATTTGATAATTAAATAACAGCTACAGATTTGTTAACTGTATTCAACTTTTAATACTGTGTATCAGTGCAATTCTTACTAGCGCACATTTCTCCACAACTTATTTTACTTTGTGATTATTTATTTGAAAGCATCGTAGAGAACAACTCTCCCACACAATCACAGTATTGTTAAAATATAATGACAGTGTTATTAACTCAGAAAGTGTTAAACCAAACTCAAAGTTAAATGGTTCATTTGAGGTATAAGAACAAGTATCTAAAACGTAAATGTATGGATCATTCAGTATGTATTACAGATTTTTGAATGTTTTTCTAATGATGTGCAAGTACCCAGAAGTTTTCTGAACTCTTCGTTGATGTATCCGTAGATTGGATGGTAGAGGCGTCTGTTTGACACCATGAGGTCAACGGGGATATCAGTGTGGCTCGCTCTGGGAAGCAGATTCAATGACAACTTAACAGAGCGCGAAGTGAGAAGCTCAGAGAATCTCATGGTAGATTCAGCAGGAACGACAATGTCATTGGTCCCATGGAGCAAGGCGAATGGAGGCAATCTGTCAGAATAAAAAGGACTGTAGTAAATAAATGTCTGTAGTGTGTTTGCATTTCAAATAAATAACTGATGCACTAGATTTTAGAATTATAATTGGTTTTAAACCCATTTTTTATCCTTTTCTCTTCACCTGCTGACTTTGTCTTGGCTGAGCTTCTTCAGTAAGTGTGTTGGTGAGTAGAATGGAAGGTTTTCCACACCAGTCATTGCTCTGTGCATGTCAGAGAGGTATTCGATTCCTCGTTTCTGTTCATGTTCATAATGTTCCACAGTGTTGTAGACGCCACTCAGACCTGTCCAGAATATAAAACAGTTAACCTAACTTATAAAGTATAAATAAAGGAAGAGGAACCACAGATTAGCTAAAAATGCTCAAAATGTGTTTTACAATCTCCATCAATAATTTAGCTATGTATGTGGCAAATATTACATCATGAAAGTTTAGTATAAAATTAAAAAACATTTCTTTAGATGATGAACTTCATTTCTTACCAATAATTCCTCTTATTAACAGGAAGACTTCCTGCTGCTTGTCTGGCTCTATGGAAAGCTCCTCTCTTGTATCAACAAGAAACAGTGTGGTGAGTGTACACAAATGTGCACCTGCTGAATGCCCAATTAATACAATGTTATCCTATAAAAAACAGAACAGCATGCTGTATGTGATTAGATATATGTATTTTTTAACGTTTATAACAAACAATTTGTGAATGAGTATAAAAGCATTCATATATGCACTTAATCCCAGGACATCCTAGGTCGCGCTGCGATTTATTTTGTAATCGTATCATCAGATCTGTGGCAGCATGCCGTATAGGTGAGGAGGGAAACTGAGCTATTAGCTGAGCACCTGGTGATGACTAGGATCAGGTGATGCAGGAGCATGCTGCACACGCTTTGTGTAGTGAAGGTACGTTGGGGGCAACTTCAGAACTTCGACAACATTCTGAGAGATGCTAAGGACACTGAGTCCAAGTGAACCACGCTCTGCAAAACCATTGCTGAAGCTGCTGTAAAGGGTTTCAGCTGTAAGGTGGCTGATACCTGTCACAGGAATAACCCTTAATCCAGTCAAGCTGAAGAAGCAGTCCGAAGCTTGGTTGACTTGTGGGACCTCCTCAATCCCACTGACTGCTTCGGTGCTGAAAGCAGAGTTTGGGAATGAAGAGGAGGACTCAGACATTAATGAGGGCAAGGTCACTGATGTAGTTAAAAAAAACTCATTGGTGGTAGAGATTCACCCACGATTCCCTAAGGCTTTGCAGGTTATGCAATTGTCTTGCTGGATCACACCCGTCAGGCTTCTTGGAAGGACTGTCCCAGGGTATTAGAGAGGAGAGCCAGTTAGGTGGACCTTGGTTACAGGAACAATGTGGTTTTGATCCTGATTGTGAAGACTAGAAGAGCTCTTTATTCTCTTGAGGACTGAAAGTAATGTGGGAGTTTGCCCAACTAGCCTAGAAGTGTTTTATGAACTTTGAGATTTCACCATGTTCAACCACATTCCTCATGGTGTCTTTCTTGGGTTTGTTTTGGGAGTATGGTGTATCTGGCCCAGGTTATCCAAACCCTTTACAACCATATCGAGAGTTTGGTTTGGTTTGCTGGCAATAAATCATTACCAGTAGGTATTGGACACAGCCAAGGGGTGGACGGTGTCAGATTAATTTGGTTCTGTTAACTTTATCAAACCACAGTCTCCAGCTTGTACTGGGGCCGTTTGCATGGAGAGAAAGGTCTGAGTGTCCCTCCTGAGATTTTGCTGAATCCTCCTTACACGGCTCAGTTTCTAGGGTCGGGAAATCATTCAAACTACTTCTGTATGATGATGTGGTTTTTAATCAACATGTGGAAACGACACCAAAAAGAAGATTTTTACTGCTCAGAGGGTTAAACAAGACCTAAAAATCTGTTTCCAGTTTATGTTGAATAAATAATGATAAATAAGTTACATTACTTCACTTCAACCACCAGTCACAATCCAAAACAGTGTCAAAAATTAAAAAATAGGAAAAGACATGATGCAGAAGCTGTCAGAATTATTCTACAAAATAAATAAAACATTTACTTAATCTGTAAAAACGCATGTATATGAATATGTAACATTTGTAAAAGTCAGTATTTTGGGTCATGGTAGCTATTGTTATTGATTAATTATATTTCAGGAGGTTTGTTTGATTGTACAGATATAGGCAGCTTATTATTCATGTTCCAAAGAATACTTAAATAATACTAAGCTGTCTTACTTTGTCAAAGTTGAATTTCTCTCCATTCTCGTGGACCCAAATCAAGCAGTCAGCGATATCTTGGACCATCCCTAAAACATTCCCCTGTTGATGAGAGTCAGCCAAGAGTAGTTTAGAAGTTTAATATTTGAATAACCCCCCCCGCTTTTACTGTGTTGTTCAGAAGCTCTCACCTTTGGATATGTGCAGTAATCAGGACAAATTACAGTTGCTTTCAGTTCTTCAGCCATCTGCCTGCTCAGTAAACAGTAAGTGGACCTTTCTCCTGAACTCCAAGCACCTCCATAGATAAATATTACAACTGGTGATGGCATATCTTCTAACTTGTCTACATTTGGAGGGTGGTACAAGTCCAGCTTGTTGCCTCTGCGACCAAATGTGATGCCCTATTAAGTGTCCACACAAACAAACTGATTACTGACAAATTTTTCAACAAAACAGGTAGATTTTCTCAGCAAGTTATCCTTAAAATACCTTTTCGTAATACTTAAGGTTCCTCTCATCGTTATACCATGACTTCAGTTGAAAGTAAAGTCTGGCATACCGCAGGTATTTGAGAAGATCCAGCGTAACAAAGCTGAGACGATATATTCGCCTGATTAAGAACACAAACACATAAACAAACCTTAAAAACAGACTCTGCTCAATGAGTGGAACAAAAATGCAAAATAAAAACAGAGAACACATCTAAAGTATTTTAAAAGTTACCTTGGATTAAGAGCTTCTATGTACTTCTTATACCCAGGCTTGTCAGGCCAACCATAAATCCACTGGGAGGCTAAACAGATTGTGTATGACAGGCCCACCAACATGACACCCACAGTCACAGACAGTGACATGTAGTATTTTAGATCAGACCTTCAACATGAACATATATCAGGTTAGAATTCATTAAAAGTAATGTCAGATAGTGTTCTTCAAGAGGATATACTGGACAGACTCTTACATTATTTTAGTCTCAGTCTGTCTGTCTTACCTGCAAGCATAGAAAGATTATAAGTAACATAATATAAGCAACAGGAAACAGCATAAATTGTTTTCAGTTACACAACAGGACAAAGATATGATTATGTCGTTTTCAGAAGCATTTCATATAAAGGCTCATTTTGTAAAGCCCTTTCAGTTGTAACCACTGGCCTAATTTAATTAATGCTTAATACTGTTTTAGAACTTGTATAAGTGAGTAATAATTGACAATGTTAAGTCGGAAGGCTGCCTTCATCCTGCTCCAGCTTTAGAGAAAAAACATGGTGCAGAACATCTGGATAAAACAAGTTTCTCGCTAACATTGCACTTACACCCATCACCCACAAAATCAAAGTCATCTGTGTGTCTCAGAACAAGGTTTAAGTGAGTGATACGTGCCAAAATAACGTCCACATGAGTGCCAGGACCCATATTTTGACAGCAGAAAATCACGTGGTAATGAGACGATTAATGTTCCTCACCTATGTAATAAACTACATTAGAATTTATAAATGCCTTATTGAAAGTCAGTTAGAAACTACGACATTTCTGGACAAGACTGGCCATTTAGAACGATAGCTTATGACTTATACATAGAACATTAGCACATGGTCGTGACTCGTGTAGGTCACTAATAAATACATTAAAAAAAACTTCGACGTCATGCCTGAGTATCAAGAATTTCTACCAAATCGCCCTCTAATGGCATGTTTATGCAATAGCGCCACCATTCAGAAAGGCGTGTTTAAAATCTTTTTTTAGCCATTTAATAAGTCAGTATATCAAATATATTGAGTGTCACCCACACTGGAACATTAAAATCATATGACCATGTATAAACATTAGATCATAGGTTGAAATGCATTGAGAAATACTTCATTTATCAAATGATTTTTACATATAAACGGCTTAAAAGATTTATTAGACCACCACCCAATCCAAAATTAACAGTGTTGGTAATTATGTTTCTGTAATGGTTTATCCACCAGCATGTGCAAGCTATTTAAGTAAAATTATACTTTAATGTTAAAATGTAATTATCAATGTTATCGATGAATTTACAAATTTGCTGTTTACTATTAAATAGTATTATTTGTTTTTATTATGATTCCAAATTATAGTTATTTACTTACATACCTGAACAGAAGATAAGTGTATTATTATTATTTTTATATAAGTAAAAATATCAGCACTTTGGTTGACCAGATCCCGCCAAACTGGTTGTTGGGCAGACATGGGGTTTGTTGTGTGGGACAAAGTGGGACATGTCAGCTTTGTAGCTTGAAATGTTCATATCTAAATTTAAAATGATAATAATAAAAAACAAACAAATGGAAAAAACAATTTTACAACACTGGCATTTATCATGTATATGCTAAATATATTATAGTTTCAACTCTCTTGATAAAAGATGAAGATAAAAGGATGCTTAATGTCGTATTCTTTTCAATTTCACCATCGTTGCAGCTGCTAATTGTTTTTTGGTTTTCAGTTCATATGTACTGGTGGATTGGCATACCTGTTTTCCTGATTGTCAGATACCTGTTGTATCTGACAATTTTAACTTTTTTGTTACCACCATATTTCCCTCTCTGTGCAAAATTAAAAAATAACTAGCAAAAAAAGAGAAAACCTCTGTTTCTTAGAATATACTGGCTGCTTCAATTTCTATGTGGTTGTTTCCACTGTATTCAAGACAATGTCTTCTTGGTTCTGACTAGAATTACAATAAATACAAAAAAGCCTTTCCTTCTGAGTAAAAAATAGACTTTACAAAGTGCTTGTCCTGCAGATACAGTCAAAATGTGTGACACTGTCTTTAGATGTGAGACGGGCAGGAGGACAAGGAATAAAAAAATGTTGTGCAGACATCTAATCACCCTAGACAGCTAAGCAAAATTGTGCCCCCTTTTTCTTTCTTTCTTAGAGAGCTTTGACGTAAAGTTAGCAGTACCACTTACTCAACTTGAATCGTGAAGATAATGAAGACAACGGTGTGTCTGTGAAGGTTCTCAGTCATCCAGGTCATCGTAGTCAAAGGAGCTTGCAAAGAAAAGCGTCTGGACTTCTTTAAGTTGCTAGAAGACAACAGTTCTGACAACGGTTTCCTACCGTTTGACTCTTTGTAGCAATAGTATGTTGGTCGCTAATAAGCTAGCATATATCTTTATTTAAAAAAGAATAATAATAATAAACGACTATCAAAACAAACATACCAAATAAAAGGGTACTTTCTGTAAAAGGCCGGGCTGTATGTACATCATGTAACTGCAGTGTAGCCGCTTATGAAGCGAGCTTCCAAAGGACCGGTGTTCTGCCCTCTTGTCCTGGGGCTTGTCCTGACAACCAAACACACAAAGATAAATACGGCGAAGTGGAAATAGTCTGCTATTAACTTCCGGTTTTGCGATGATAACCAAAGAGCGTCCGTTGATGTTTGAAAGTACCATTTTATAGTTAATTTGTGACATTGATAACGTTATATGTCAGCAAAATAGAGATAGCAGGTCATTTGTTACTCTAACGTTTTAATTATTTATTTATTTTCTTACACGTGAAGCTTCTTGCATGCATACATTTTTTTGACGTACCGATGGCGGACATGGAGGATTTCTATCTCTTCATTGTCAACATCTCTGCAGTGATACTCCGGAAACACATGCTAAAATAGTTTGGTGATAAAATACAATACAATACAATAAAATGTATTTTCTCGAAGCTTTCAACCGTGATTCAGCGGAAGGGCTTTGTTGATCTTTCATAGATTTATTTTATTTTATCTTTTCATAATCCATTTGTTGAGAAGGTCGCTGAGCTGTGATCGAGCGGTGCTACTGTGATTGATTAATGTCAGACCAATACAGTATGTCAACAGTATGCTACCTAAAGGGAAAACGGCGAGGGCGTTTACGCATGCGTGTGGCAGAGTAACGGGATTTTATTAGACTCATGATCTGACGGTAAATACGGATTTTATTCTACAGATGGTTCCGGTCAGCTGTTTCACCAGATTTCAGGGTTATATGTTGAAATAGTTTGTATTAATGTAACTCGTGGATACCCCCCCGCCCCCGCGCGCGCGCGCTTCAACCCATAACACCACACACACTAATTATATTGTTTTTTCTCTCCATTTCAGATACGGGATACGGTGACAGTGATAAAATCTGCCCATATCATTTTAGTGCATTACTTACTCCCCTTAGGCGGTTTTTTGAACTGATAATTTGCGACGATTTTGATAGGATGATTATGGGGCGCCTGGCATTAAAATCTTGACTTGGAGACTTTTTCACAATGAAAATGAAGCTTACAAAGGTATTTCTTTGCTCAAAACTGATATGCCCCTGGTTCCAGTTCCAGTTTGTGTGTTATGGCCAAAATACCAAATCCCACAGCAATCCCACAGCTCTCAGATTACTAAAGAACGTCCATTATAAACATTTTTTTTAAACAGTGTTTTATAACTTCAGTATTTATTGGACGCTATCCAACTCGATGCAGTGCTTTTGACTATACATTATTCCGGAGCCATCACTTCATAATCACATTGCTCTCATTACAACAATTAGAGACCAGTCCATGAGTAACTTTATAGTGTATAAAATAGTAGCACTGGCAGTGTATGGCCACCAGGGGGAGGAAGAATTCTGTCACTTCCATCCTGAACTGTTTCATTGATTTTTAACATATTGCTGCTAATTATCGCCCAGACATTATCAAATCTGTTCAAGGACTCTAAAGCTATGAGACAGCAGTGAGTTAAGATGCAAAGATAAAATGCTTTTAGGATCAATATTAGTGGTTTGAACTTTTAAGTACTTCACAAATCTCGGATAGTGATATAATTTATCTGTTCTTGCAGCATTCAATGTATAAAATCAATGAAACCAACTGAAGCCCCAAATGCATTTAAATGATCATGCTATGCTTTGTCAGAAATGCTCTGCGCTAATGTAATATGTCTGTAGTAAATGGTTTGAAAACATGCAGTCCAGCAGTATAATTATCCCTACAAATGCAACCAATTGTTACACCTCTGTGTTGTATTAATGTCCATCTAGCATATCTAAACCAACATAAATTCTATAAATTCAGGGGTTTTGCTGGCCCTGACCATGGAAAACCTTGGCTTCAGCACTGCCAATTCGTGGAAAGCAGAGCTACATACGAGTACTGTCCAGCCTGAGGGTTATTGTTATAGTTGGCCACACAGAGCGGAGTCTCAAGCCTTGAGTTGACGTGTGGTTCTTCCTCCGTCTGCCACGATGTGGGGAGTCCCAGGTGCTTTTTGTAAAGCCGCAGTGGAAATGAAGCCACTTAGTGAATGTGAGCCATTCAGCTGCACTGAGAGCACAGTCAGCCCATTTTGAATGCTGTGGTAACTATTCACAACATTTTCCTTTTACTGGTTAACAATTGCATTATCCTCAAGAAAGTAATTATTTCATGCAGAGCGATATTAAGATAATAACACCTGACATTCATTCCTGATTCTGTGGGGGAAAGCTGGATTTGATATATTTTAATTTTTGTAAATTTTTGCTGACCTGAATTCAAGGGGAATGTAAAAATGGTGAAACCAGTTGCAAAATGCCAGAGTCATCACTTTTTTTTTTCAGATCAAACCAGCTCTGTGATTTCTATGATGGCGCGGGGAGGCACAATGCACCATCTCACTGCATTCCTTCCACAAGAAATTAATACCTCACACCTGTCATGCCACAGAATTACAATTCAGTGCAAAATGCTGAATCTCTACCATCCGCATGGAAACTGCTCTGTAGCAGGAATGTGTAGTCTGCCTCTTTTCCTTTAAATTATATCAGTGCTTTTATTTTCATAAATATTTCTATTGCTGTTTTTGAAATACATAATTGGCGCATTTTTGTTTATCTGTAAATGAAATCTCCAAAGGGAATGAGGAGACAGCTGCTTCGTGACCAGTGTTGGTCAAGTTACTTGAAAAAAGTAATCAGTAACTAATTACTGATTACCTCCCCCAAAAAGTAATCCCGTTACTTTACTGATTACTTATTTTCAAAAGTAATTAATTACTTAGTTACTTTTTAAAAACACGATTTACAACCTGAAGAGGTGATAAAGTGATAGATCTTTCAGCCCAATTCTACTTTTTCTGCATAATCCATCATACAAAATGTAATCAAATGGAAAAGTCTCTTTTTAACTTGTTTTATTAGTTTTAATCTTTTAACTTTATGCATCAAGCAAAAATTTAATTATATGCAACATTCTCTGACTGGAAGAAATTAGTTTAACATTTAAACCTATTTTCTGCACATTCCACCACATAAAATAAAATATTTTGTGTGTTTACACTCAGTCTTTCAAATAGATGCAAGTAAAACACAGCAGAAAATAAATAAAGTCAAAGACTCAGCGGTCCTGTTGCTCTATTTTCACCTGTAAAGCAGGAGTTGGGTAGGCGGAGGTTTACCCTGGTGCAGGTGTGCTGCGGTCAGTGGAAGGATATGGCAGCTCTGTGAGTTTCCCATTACGTCGTAGCTACTCGGTGCTTCCTTGGAAGTTTAGGGTTTTTTTCGCTGTAAAAAGAAATTTTCTTCCCACGCACAGCGGACACTAATGTTTTTGTCACTTTTTATGGAATCAAACTCAAAGTAAGGTCAGTACTTCCACACTTTAAACGCTGCACGCTCATACTCTCTCCTGCACTCGATATGTGATCCACTGTTGATCTGCACACAGCTGTTGTCACCAACGGCGCACTCGCTTACGTCACTGTCGTGAGACATTCTCGCAAAAGATTCACGGTTTTAGTAACGCAGTAACGCAGCGTTCCTACGGGAAAGTAAAGGTAATCTAATTACCGTTTTTGCAATAGTAATCCCTTACTTTACTCGTTACTTGAAAAAAGTAATCGGATTACAGTAACGCGTTACAAATAACGCGTTACTGCCCATCTCTGTTCGTGACCATGCTGGAGAAGAAGACCTGCTGTTTCCAGGTAACTCAGGTACAGCGACGAGACAGGATGCCAAAATAAAAAATGTGATCATCAGATATTTCCACTGCAACTGTCACTGTCTCAGGCACTATTTCACTGCAGGGCAACCTGCACGTGGCGAATAAAGCCTTGATTAATTAATTGATTGATTGATTGATTGATTTGTCAGCAGCCCGAGGATTTATGACGTTATGCTTTTGAGTGCCTGTCCAGAGTGTCGCAAAAGCATCGCAAAAATCTCAAGCAGTTTTTAAACGTGTTGTAAAAGCAGGATAGATAAATCTCTAACATTTCAGATGTATAGAGAAAATAATAACCCCATGCATTTTAAAAGACGTGATCAGCTCATTACTGTGACAAGTGCTACCGGTGCTGAGTCATAGTCAGAAGGGTTTGTCCACATTATAACTGGAAAGGCTTGTAGTACTGGATGTACCTTTGAAATCCCATCTGTCCTTTTCACACATGTTCTCACAGTCTATTCACTTCAAATCTAAAAATACATCCAATCACTCTTCTGTATTTGTAGCACATACATTGCTAACACTGATGTTCATTACTGATGACCGACTTTGTGTTTCGATGGAAGGCTACAGCTAATTACTTTTTCTCACAGTGTCACAGCAGTGAAGTTCAGTTTACCGGTTACATTTGAACTAATTTCATATTTTCATGGCAAAACCAGTATTGTGTTTGTCATTGTTGGTGTTCCTCAATAAACAGAAGTTTCTTTGTGTATATGATTGTTTGCACAGGGAGTGTTGGGAGGATTTTCAAAAGATGAGTCACGTGTAAACTAAGTGTCTGAAACATGTAAACTAAACAGGCCATTTTCAAATTTCTTAGCTTATGTCTAAAATATGAAAATAAGAACATTCAATGTGTGCAAATCACCTTAGGGTGAGTTCTAATAATGAAAACAGGACGTTGTTTGTGAAATTCAGTAAAAAAAAAAAAAAAAAAAAAAAAAAGGAGACTAGGGATAACATTTAGTTTTCCTCATTAAATGTTTGTATGTGCGTGTCTCTCTGTGTATATCTTTAGCTGAACTTGTGTTTACTGCTGTAAATTTGGATAAACCAGTATGTTTATATCCCGCCAGTGAACCCTTGCTCTGACCCAGTCCCTTGAGCTCCTAACCGATGTGCGGCACTGAGCCGGGACCCAAACGTGCCACTTCTGTGTTTCTCTCGCTTGCTTTTCCTTCCGAAACGTGCTCTCAGTGGGCTCAGGACCTCCAGACTCAGAGCCATCTTTTCACTGGGATTTCACAAACATGCCAGGGCCCCAAAAGAACATCCCTTTCACAGTGGGAACCATGGAAACTGGCACTGACCATAAGGTC